GCAGCTCCTCTAGGCACTGACTCCAGTTCCCCCTCAACCAACCAATCCACTCTTTTATAGCACTCTTCTAATTGGCTACAGGTGTGGCCTGTAAAAATCAGGCCTGCTCCTAATCTTTAATAATTAAGCCAGCTTTAGGGGATAAGATTACGTTCTCTACCACGTTTATTTACTTATATTCTATCCCCCTACATCTCCTCATGTCACCAAGACTCAGGGCAAGCAGGTGTCCTGTTCAGCCACCTCCAGGAAAGCCAGGCTCCACCACATGTTTTGGTGACTCACTTCAGAATAGATTCAAATGGTCTTTTTGTATTAATTTCTAGAATAATCTATGAGCTGGGAATAGAGTTTATACTTTTGTCAAAGCCTGTCACAAAGCAATTTATGGCTAGAGGTTAACTTGGCAGAGCAATGGGAGCATCAAATTTAGATGCAATCAGCTCAGCAGGGAACCCATTCCACTGGGACTGCTGACAAGAGGTGTTGCTGTCAAGCCAACAAATAAGTGGGGTCAGGGTAATTACACTGACAATAACTGGGGACTTGATTAGTCCTGCCAATGTTTAAATAATTTACCAAACTCAGTGACAAGAATCGCCCACCAAAGTGGGGATTATGATGGAAAAGGAATTACCTACTTTTGGTGATAATTACAACATAAAAACCTCCTCAAGATTTAACTTGGCTACATCTTCAAATATGCACTGTTAGACAAGTGAGAGACAATTTGGCAAGAACCAAGCACAAAAACAATCTGAAAAAATTCTAATTTTCAGTAACCTTTAACGGAATTAAGGGATAATTTTGGGAATTATTAATAAGAAAGTATTTATACTACATTTAAGTGTGGAAGGATAGAATGTAAGAAAACAAAGATAGTGCAGAAGGTGGTCTCACACCTGAGGAGTTGCAGCTGCGCTAATCACCAAAGATTAGGAGCAAGCCTGCCCTTAATAGGCCACAGCTGTGTCCAATAAGAAGACAAGTGCTACAAAAGAGTGGGTTAGCTGGGTGAGGGGAGAGTTGGAGTGTGTTGGCTGTACGATGAAGAAGAAGGAATCAGTGCTGTGAGGAGCTACACATGAGAAATCACCAAGAAGGTGTGGGAGCTTTGCAATAAGATGACAACATTTAAGAAGCTCAGTAAATTTCCCAGGACAAGGACTGCAGATACAGGTAATATCAGGAACAACTACTACAATCGAAAAAGCCAACAATTAAGCTAAAGAACCAAAACCACACAAAGACAAAAAGTAGAAACTGATGGAATATAAAGTAATATTGATAAACTGCAGAATACTTCAAAGATCATCTCACAGCACTGCAGAACCAGAAAGATGTAACAAGACCACGTCTATTCCCTTTAACAGTATTGCCTGAAATGTCAAGGAGTGTCTGAAGGAAGAAATCACAGACTCCTTCAGATTTGGACATCTGCTTTCTCTGGCACATTGCAATCCATTGTTGTCTGTCTGCCCCTTCCTTGTTGGAGAGTTTTGTTCAGACATGGCTTGAAGGAAAAAGGGCCATGATCATATACAGCTGGTTAAGCAGTAAAAAGCAGCTGTAAGCAGTAAGTTCTCAACTTTCTGATTACAAGAAAAACAAAAGCACTGCGTCCTACATCAAATAATGAGAAAAACACGGTGAAAAACATGGAGTCCTTGAATAACAGTCAACAGCAGTATATAAAAAACAAGTATTAGCCTCAACAAGAAAGCCACAGGTATTAGCAACAAAGGAGGGGTTGGCATATAATCTGTAACCAATGATGAGCTCGGTTTTTGCAATATATATGAGCTTAATTAACACTACTCTAAAAGTATGTAAGCTGGATCAATAAATCTGAGACCGATGATCATCAATAGGATGTGCAAGTCTCCCTTCACTTTCCTCACTTCCTAAGCAAATGAAAAGCAGGAAGCACACAAAAACAAAGAAGAAAAATAAAACCATAACACATCCTTATGTCTGTGACAGTGAATTTTTGTGAGAAAAATAATTTCAGGTGTTATGACAAGAAGATAAAATGCGCCATAGTGATACTACTTTAATTTCAGTTCCTAATAATCTGATGTGAAATGCTTAAGCCTACAAATGGAGAAGACAATATTAAGACTCAATAGACAGAAAGAGAAAGTTAGAATTTGAATTGAAGATCATAAAACATTAATTAGTTTGCCTCAAGACTTTCTTTAAGAACTCTTCTTGAGTAATATTTAAGCATCTTCTTCAGTTTTGCATAACATTGTTAAAAAAATAGTTACCTATAGCCAATTCATAAGGCAATTACTTTACTCTTGACAAACCAGCCACAGTTTACACCTTCTCCAGTCAAAATTCCTTCCCCTTTCACAGCTGCAGCACCCCAGAAGCATCACAGCTCCTAGACACCAGCAAGTCTGCTGCCTCTCCCAACAACACCCACAAAGCAAGAGGCCTCTTGTCATCCTCTGTCCCGAGTCAATTCTCCTCATAAAGAAGCACAGCACAGTCCATTCAAATCCACGTGGTTATTCCACTTGCTCAACTCAGTTTGACATTTTCCCTTTAAGAGCTGCTTAGTCTTAACAGTATAAAGCAAGCATGATTGGTGATAAGTGTTTTAAGAGCTCATACACATGTACTGCAAACCTTTGTATTGCTCTCCCTGCTTATTCTAAATTCTGAAATCTGGGCTCCATGAGACCAAAAACCCACCCTCTCCCATGAAAGGAGGATGACACCTCTTTTGGCTCGGCATTCATTTTCTCCTACATCTCTTGACTCATGAAATCTAATTTGGATGTCTTTTTACTGAATTCACACAACAGGCCTAAAGCTATTGGTTGTTTATGCACCATTTCAATCACTCCTGAAGCTGTACTGTCAATATAATTGTCTTCTCCTTAGTTAACTTTTTCATGGGCTGGTAGATAAGTCATGTTCACTCAGAGGTGCTTTTCCATGTATCTTTTCTAATATCCTTCCATAACAGCAGCATCTCCTGTTGGTATGGATTACTCTTATGATGAAATCTCCACCAGAGAGGGCACTGGGAACTCAAGGGAAGAGTTTTTGTCAAGGACCCTCTCCAGACAGACACACAGAAGAGATTAAGTGAAACACTCATTGATTACACCTTGTGCTTCATTTTATCCTATTTGCCTTTTTCATCACTAATAACCTTTCCTTCACTGATCATTTGGTTTATCTTTAGCAATAAAGAAAGTAACCTGACACAACTGATGAGCAAGCCTGCAGGTGGGGACAGGGGAAGATGCATCATTTCTGCATTGTCCCTCAAAGCAGGTTTGCTCTTCAATCTTCTATGTGCTGTAAGTGCTCCATATTGTCTAAATACAAAACTACTTGATGTTGAACACATGAAGAAAAAACAAAAACCCCTTTCTTCCTGTGCTACCCTTCAAGCTACTCACAGATGGTAGAAACTGCCCACTGAACAAACAGCTCTCACTAATCTCTCTGGCCTAGACATTACAAACTGCCCCTGCAAAAACCAGCTCAAGCATACTGCAAACTTCCTTGTCCCCTTTCCTCATTTTTCATAGTAACTACTGCTTTGAACTTTCCTTCATGCTGCTCTCTTCTTGGAAAAGGTCATGTTCTGGCTTCCCACTGACTCCCACAAAGAAAGTCCTGGGAAGCCACTCCTCTTTTCTGATCTGTTCCATTCCCTGAACTATCACTTTACTCTGAAACTTCCAGCAAAGGTGCTCATCTTAAGAAATTACATGCATGTAAATGCCTGTAAAGAATATCTGAACTTGCTTTTGTTAACATGGTTGAGTGGACTCCTTAAAAACAAACCTCATCCCTTAAGGCCTGCAAACCAAGACAGAGGTGTCACATAAGCATCTGGCAAAGGCAGATTCAGCATGACTTCTTACGTGAGAAGGAAGATGGTCCTTCCTTTGATTAAAAAAAAGTCAAGGGACAGAAAACTATTTCTGAATTTAGGACAGATTCAAATTCATAGTTAGAGGAAGGGGGAGCAGAAGAGTGCTCTCTGCAAGGTGAAACAAACAGAGTTGCAAGAAATAAAGAGAACCCAAGTAAAATGTTTGATTTTTAAGGTCAAAACTGAACTCCACCAGGATGGGGGAAAGGGGCTATTTTGCTAAAGACAGACAGAACATTTCTACTAGTCAACTTTTTCTTATTTTTTTACTCTTTGCCCACTGACAAATGAAAGCATTATTCTCATCTCATACTAGCATTCTATCTAAAATGCTAATGCTGCTTTTAACATGGTCCCAAGTTTTTCAAAAGCCTCCACTAAAGCCAAACACTTGAAGAACAATATTTGCTATTTCAAAAAAGACAAAAGACCATTCTCACTCCCTCACTCAACTTCTCTAAATGCTGTAAAACAGTACAAAAACCAGAATTATTTCATTAAAATACTTATGAATAGCTACAACAATTCTTTTTACAGATATGCAAACAATAGATCACATGGAAGAGTGTGGAAGCCACAGTAATAAATATAGGATTTATATGGATCACTTCAAAAAGAACTATCAAAAAAAGATAATTGTTTGGAACAGCAAATTATCATTAGAGATTTAATGCAAGGAGAAAGGCCCTACTGCCAGAATCCACAGGTCAATGACAGATACAGACACAGCACTAAAAATCTGTAAAGAATGCAATAGGTAAATGAAGCAAACAAGACAAGGTTGATAGAATGGTTCCACTTACTTTGTTTACTATTTCATTTATAACAGCTACATTTGACTTTGGCTATTCCCAGAAAATAAATAAAGCCAAGTGCATAGTTCCAATTTTCACTTTCACTTTTTCTTTTCTATATTCTTATAAAGCTGTCAGTGCTTTAGCAGAAAGCAAAAAAAATTTCCTGCTTTGACTTCTCTAGAAAAGGTTAGCACATTTATTCACCACTACTCCCCTTCATATGCATCTTTCACAGCTACAGTTTCATAGTTTCCAGCAATGAAAACTTTCAATGTTTCTAAAAATAAGGGCTTACTTACTGAGCATTTGACATACAATCACAATTTGATAGCTGATGTCTAAAATTTCCTTCCTTCTGACAGCCAGCTTTTAAATAGCAGGATCTGATTTCCCCTTTAGAAAATACAGAGGGAAAAAAGTCAGTTCAGTGATACAATTATTTGTGTACACAAAAATTTATAAAATACACATTCTGTGTCAAGGGCATTTATAAATATATATTTTTCAGTCTATGCATTAGGCTCATTTTTGATTTCAGAAAGCAAATTAACATTTGAACAACTGAAAACCTTGGAAAATTGAACCACAGAAGTCACAGTGAATATTTAAAGGGCATGTAAATTAAACACAAAGCACATTGATTCATGTAAGTTCACCATAAAATGTGAAATCAGATTTCCCTCTTTCCATTCACAAAGGTGAGGTCAGGAGATACAAAGCAGCAAAAAGTTCTGCTAGAAGTGCAGCCACAGCTCCTCCCTGTTTGCAGAGGAGCACAAAGCCAAGGGTGGGTGCTGCCTGACCCAGAGGCTGCATCACCTGCCCCACTGGCAGCTGCTGCTCTTCTGGCCACAGCAGAGCGAGGAGGAACAGGAAAAAACCAAAGTATCTCCAGGGTCACAGACCCACCACCATGAGCACTCACTCCACGCTGGTTTTGAAGGTAACTTTAAAGGAAACAGGGCTTTTGGGACAGCTGTCTTTCAGAGGTATGAGCCAGTACCTCACAGGGCACTAAACAGGGCTCAAACCCATCCTACAGTTTCAGATTCCAAGAACAGCTTCAGAGCAGTGGCATCCCCACTATATGCATGGGGCAAGACTAGGTCACTCATTAATTTTCTTTAAAGGAGTAGCAGATCACAACTCCAAATACAAGCAGCACCACCACACCAAGAGGTCAGTCTGAGCCAGCTGAAGAACAAAACTGTAAAAAGGAGTCATATTTTGCCCAGCCAGGCCAGTGCAAAACTTCTAGTCAGGCAGAAAATGCCAGAGGGTCTTCTGATGGGACAGAAGTTGTCTTCTGGCCTAGCCAGCATCTTTTGAGGATGATGTTTGGAAGATAAACTTCAGGCTCTGTGTAAGGCTCAGGTTTCTGATGGTCACTGGTGGATTTGGAAAACTCTATTTATTGCTCATCCAACTTTAAATACCAACCCCCTTTTTTTCCACGCACAGAGAAAAACATGCAACTGGTAACAGACAAAAAAAAATATCCTTCCAGGATATCTGAAGTGTTCAGAAATTTCCTCATGCATTGCAATTATCCCAACTAGATAAACTCACCATTTTCATCTATGAACACGTGCATGGCATCCACGGAGAGCTCATCTTGCACAGACGCCTCAGGTCCACTTATTACTTGCAAGACAGAACTGTCTTGCTGAGAAGTTACCCGGTAGATTATCTGCCTTTGCCTGCTGCCCTGGTAACTTGACACAAAAATGTTTCAAAACTACTATGAGGAACTTTTTTCTTGTTCTCAATAAAACAAAAAGAAAGAGAGGTTAATTAAAAGTTTATGTCATTTCTACTCAGTGAAACAAAACAGCTTACATCATATCTTTGAAGTACAAAATTGTAAAGTAAACTGGCCTTACAGTGCTGCAAATTTGGCAGACTCTGGTAGCACCGGACTAGTACTAGCACGATCTTGGCTTTGTACATCTGATCTTTCCTGTTTAGGAAGTTGCTCACAGTGCTTTTCTGTTCCCACCATTTCTTCTTTTCTCTCCGTCATCTGGCTATCTGGAAAACAGGGCAGTGAAGTGGAGCCACTCTCCACAGATGGCTTTCAAGAGTTTCGTTCATTAACTACTGAACAAGAGCATCTAAAAATGGAAATCGAAAACACTGCAGTATTTGCTAGTTTTATGGAAAGCACTACCATTACTTAAAACAATACAACCACAAATCTGGATGAGAAGGTACTCTGACCCTTATGCTTGGGCTGTTTCAAGAACACACTGTGTGAAGTAGAGGACAAACAAGAGAGAATTTCTGCTTTGCTTCTCCTATTGTTTCAGAGGGAAGCAATCTGTTCCTAATCTAGAATGGTAAGAGGCTGCTTCCCTGGGGGCTGTAATTGTTTCCCAAACTGTGTATGCTGGCAGTGGAAAAGCAGAAGCACTGGCCCATTCCCCTTTTACAGAAGGGAAAGCAGCACCTTCAAAGGAAACAGAGCTCTTGGACAGGAAAGCAGATAGCTGCCTAATCGCTCTTCCTCACTGGCCACACACCTGGTGCAGGACAAAGGGCAAACTGGCAAAACAATTTCAGAGCAGATTATCCTATGCTTGGAAAATACAGAACTATAGGTTTAAAAATACACATGAAGTATTTGTCCAATTTCTACTACTTTGAGTACCAATTATATTTATATTGCCTCTCTACACTATTTATATTGCTTCTCTACATATGCATGTCATTTTTTCATATATGTATATGTGTACAACATATTCATGGTGAATAGTGAAACATTTTTCAACTGTGCTTTGTTTATAAAACCTGTTAGGGTTCTGAAGTGCAACTAAGACAGTGATTTCATCACCACCCTGTGCAGTTGTGCAATTAAATGCTTTAAATGGAAAAAAGGGGTGCTTGTTGGAGATGCTTCAGTAAATCCTGCAGCCTCCTGCACCAAGCAAAGTGTACTGAAACTTACTTACCCAGACTTTTGCTGCTGTTTAAACACCTCAGATCAAGGAAAAAAACCACAGAAATTTAGCCCCACTGAAAATTCCATATCTTAACCCATATTTCTCATATGTATAATTAGCCATAATTTCTCATATGTATAATAAACCATATTTCTCTCAGTATAATTACCATCCTATCCTGTAAGAATCACCAGTCAAGAAACAGTGGTGTCATATCTAAGTTGGTCTAAGGATTAAAAAGAAAGAAGGCTTATAAAAAGATGTTTCACCTTTCATAAGGTCAGCTGATAAAACTGAAAAAAGTAAACAAGCTTTTGCATATGCAGACCTTTCAGATCATCTGTCTTGTTTTCCTCACACTGTATCAGCTGATCTACCAATACATTATTTCTATAAACAGACCTACCTTCATGAGCTAAAACATCTCTATAGCTGTTTCAATTCATAGGACAAAGCCACCTCACACCTTAAAGCCTGTGCTATAAAAACTATAAATACAATGAAAGAAGCACAAATTTGGTATAGAAAATACTTTGTTGTGCATGGAGGCAAAATTCAATAAGTCTTCCAGGTCTACTTTATTCTATCTTGGGAAAAAAAGAAAAAAAGCAGTTAGGGGAAGAGATAATGATTTTTTCCTCTCCTAGTTAAAGATTTAAACTCCAGTTTCTGCTTAAACTGTGTCATTACTGAAGCACCCCCTTAATGATGTAACCATACCTGTGGGCAGTGATGGAGCCACAGATACCTAATCAAAATGACCTTCCTAAAGGCTTGGGCTGTCCAAGCTGTAAGAATAATTGATAGAGATCAGAAACTGTGGTTTAAATAACCTAATTGGTCCCAGAGTGCCCCAAACCAGCTTTAGGGCTGGAACAATTAAAAAGATTTTTTAAAATCTGATTATCTAGTGGTTTCAGAATATGCTTCTCTCTTTTCCATTCCAAACCACAAGCCTTGCAGACTTCTTTTTCCTGCTGTGGTAAAGAGTCATAATAACAAAAACCTAAACATACTGCTTCTTACAGGCTTTATATGCCAATCAGACAATCCATGGTGATGAGGACTTCCAGCACTGGAAGAGTGGGCCATGATGGCTTTGTGACTGTTTTCAAGATAATTACTCCTCTTCTTCCAGGTGACTTACACCTTCAGTATTTAAATGAAGATGGAGGTGTCTAGACTAGGAGTGCCCTGCCAGCATACGCAATCAGCTCTACGTCACCAAACGCTCCCTGCACAGAAATCGTGCTGGCAAAGCTCAACCACCAGGAAAAACCTTTCCTAAGTGCAAGAGCAGACTAAAGAGGACAACATGGCAGTGTACTTGCACTTTTCCCTGTGCCATTTACCCTTATCCACTGCTCCACACATCTCCAGCTCATGCACAGCTGGGCTCACAGTAGTATCAAGATCAGACCTAGGCTCTGCAATAACCACATAATTTATCTGGAAATTATATGCCACATGACTCAGACATGTGAGGTGTAGCTATCAGGACTTATGGCCAAATCAGTCTTCTGGCAAGGTGATTCAGAAGAGTCCTGCATAAACAGCCAAGTTTTGGTCTGTACACCATTTTCATATTTTGACAGAACACAAGACACAAGCTTAAGTTACTGTGGAAAAGTACTTATGAAAAGGAACAATTCTTACAGGTCTCATACATAAGATACTTTCAGTAAACATTTTTTCTGCACTAACAACTTTTATCAGCCTATCAACAATACTTACAAGTATGCCATCCCAGTGCTGACAAATGAACTCCTAATCTAAAAAGAGTTACAGTACCATACTTTTGCCATGTAAGTTTTTCACTGGTAGAACAGATTTTAAGTATCCCAGATCATCTTTATAGACAAACCCCTGTTCTACTCTAGGAGGAGGCTGTGAACAATTTCACAGCTGAAACAAAACAGCCTTTGTACAAATGTTAATACAGTGAGTCCAGAGAGGGCCATCGAGGTGATCAGAGGGATGGAACCTCTCTCCTGCAAGGAAAGGGTGGGAGAGTTGGCTGAGATTTCAGCCTAGAGAAAGCTCCAGGCAGACCTAATTGCAGCCTTTCAGGACCTGAAGAGAGACCACAAGAAATCTGAAGAGGAACTTTTTACAAGAGTGGGTAATGATAGAACAAGGAGGAATGTCTTTCAACTGGAAGAGGGCTGGTTTAGACTGGATATTTGAAAGGAATTCTTCACTGTGAGGGTGGTGAGGAACTGGTACAGCTTGCCCTGAGAAGCTACAGACTCCTCATTCCTGGAAGTGTTCAAGGCCAAGTTGGATGGGGCTCTGAGCAACCTGGTTTAGTGAAAGGCATCCCTGCCCAAGGAGAAGGGTAGGGGGTGTTGGAACTAGATGATATTTATTAAAGTCCCTTCCAACCTAAACCATTCTTTAATTCTGTGATACAGTAATCACAACAACCAACTATCAGTGTATCTCAACCTTAAAGTTGCCTTAGTATTAGGTAATTAGAATTAAATTTTATTACTCTGTAACTTTCCTCCAAAACATTTTTACTATTTGTAGCCCCTTACTGGAGTCTTCCAAACCTTCTTCCTCATCTTTTACTTACATATCCCTATCCCAACCTTCATAGCTCACTCCTGTAAAACAAAATGCCACTGCTGTCATAATTTCAAACACCATCTGGTTTGAAACTTGGGCAAGCAGAATTAAGCTAATTAAGCCTGTCTCTCTTCTGTTCATTAATTGCTTTGCTACAGAATCCACTTCCTTCAACAACATTATGCTCTGAAAGAGAAATTTTCACTTTCAAATACATTTGCTGCCTGTTCAGCCACAAATAAATTATTTCAAATCGTTCTATGCTTTTGTTAGTACCAGCATGAAACCAAAGTTCTACAAGCTGTGAACTCTGCCATTCATATATGTGGATTATAAATCCTAAGAACATCCTTAATCCTTTCTTCACCAACTACTTCAGCAGAAACATCTAGCTTACGCACTTTCTTCTCAACTCAAATTTGCCTATTATGCCATAAATACATTAAAAGAAAAAACTGCCATTTAAGCTGATCATCCACCAAACAACGGGAGTGCCCAGGGAATACCACACCATCCAATAATTTCTACAAGAGTCCAGCATGGACACTGAAGCAGCACATGGCATTAGCCATTAATGAGGATTGCCACATTAATCCTGAAGCAACAGGAAAAACTAGCAATAGGCATTGTACCTGCTACAGGAAGTGACTTGCTTGAAACAATCTCCTGTGTCAGCAGCAGAGCTAGGAATTAGTAGCCTAATCACAACACCTACCAATTACATCAGAACACAGACCTCTGAAATAACTTTTCTCTTTTTTTTTCAGATGTCAGACTGGCATCGTACATACTACTACTTCTTCAACTTAAAGACTGAAATTTCAAAATTTTAACCTGCCAAGCCTTACACATTGAGCATCAGATTCAGAGCTCTGCATACCAGTTCCTCCACATCCAAAGATATGCATCAGAAGCCATGTGGCCCCTCTCTGGAACAAGAGTCAGGGGTGATACACAGCTACCCCAATAGATGAGCTAGCACCAGGCAGGGCTTTATTTCCTAGGTGCCACCCACCTGCCAGCAAAATCACCTGCTGTCACTTCCCACCTCAACTGTCAACTGCACCAGTGACTCAATGCACAAGATCCCTATTCCTCCTAACTACATGGCATGTGACAGTCCTCATTCCTACATGCAAAGAGGAAAAAAAAAAAAAAGTCTAAAAATACCCAGGAGTATAGTTTAGTTTTTTATAGGAGAAGGGTAATTGCTTGGGATCCAGAACAACTCACTCGAGGTTGTGGTTTGTGCACTGCCCAGAATGATGAGTACCTTTTCTAAAATGAGCCTGCAAAACATCTAAATTCGGGCCATGCAGCCCTGGTTTAGTTTCTCCTGTGCCAGTCCCCACCACTCCCACAGCAGACTTTGCTCCCTGGGTGATAATACTGCCTGTCCTAGATTACAAGCCAGCTGTGCCAAAGGGGACCTGCAGGAGGTTTTGCCCTAAGTCTGATGCACAACTGCTCTTACTTGGTTCAGGACACATCAGAGGGACCCAAAGCAGCCAATAAACCCAGGTTTTCTTACACCTCTCAAAGACTGAAAAAATTTTGCAGTTGCCCTACAACACACTTTCATCATGTGGGTGGTATAACTGTGATTCAAAACTGAAAGGACTCTGGTCTGAAAGTCAGTTTTAGCAACAGTGTCAGTGGTATTTTCTCACAATCTAGAAGAGGTGGAGTGGCTATAGAACAGCTCTTAGAGCTTTTATATCCTGTATTTTAACAGGTTAAATCTGGCACCCTTAGAAGTGTAAAGAAAGGCTTTCATTTTCTCATACTGCACTTTACCAAGCTGTCTACTGACAAAGGCTTATGTGGTCAGGATGGTAACTCTTCTATTTCCACAGAACACCCAAGTTCTGTGAGGGACCACCCATAACAAAGACCCATCCATGACATTCACTCACTTGCCAGACAGTTCTGATGAGCACATTTCCCCACCTTCCACAAATTATGCAAAATATCAGCTTTCTTTCGCACAGCTCTGAATATCCAGCTTTCCAGGAATTTGCCAAGTTTTTCACATTGCCTAATAAAAATCTTTCTGGGGTGCATTTCATGCTCATTTGGACCAGACATCTATTGCTAACTTTTGCCAATTAGACAGTGTGCAAGGTTAAAAGAACAAAAACCAAACAGAACCAACCTCCTCCCTCAAAACAACTGGTGCATGGCTTGATTCTGTATTCCTACACACACACACTTCTCTTAATAACCCCTCTAATGTGGGAATAATGTTTATTCAGATCTGTTCCAAGATACTATACTATTAAAGCATATTTGCAATTGCAAGGCTGTAAACAAATTAAAGGCTTTCTCATTCCTAAAATTCAGTCTTGCAAAGGGGAAGCTCCCAGTAATGACAGTAATTTATTTTAACAAACAGCACGTTCTGACTAGGCTGGAAAACAAAGCCTACTTGCTCTTAAATATAACTGCCTTTGAACTACCTCTCCCAAGCTCATGGAGTTCAGATTGAATCTCCTTTTTCCCACAGCACCAGTTCAAGGTGCAGAATCCACAGCTGCCATCCCTGCTCATGCAGGGCACCCCCTTTGCCAGTCCCTGTTCTGTTTCTGGATGACACTTGCAGAGCCCACACTGCAAACAGACACTTAATTACACAGGTATGCAGCTCAACTTCACTATCTCACAGACTCCAGCAAATAGAAATAGGAAGATTTAGAATAGATACTAGGAAAAAATTTTTTACTAGGGTAAAAAATTTACTGTGAGGGTGGTGAGGCACCAAAACAGGTTGCCCAGACCAGCTGTGGATGTCCCATTCCTAGGAATGTCCAAGGCCAGGTTGGATGGGGCTTAGAGCATCCTGGCCTAGTGGAAGGTGTCGCTGTCCATGGCAAGGGTTTGGAACTAGATGATGTGTAAGGTCTCTTCCAAAAAAACCATTCTGTGATTCTTTGAGATTCAGTTCAAGTTGCTAAACAAGAGCTTGGTATGAGGGAAGAGCAGAATTCTTCTGTTCCCTCATTATCTTGTATAGGAATCTTGTTCACCAGATCTAAAGCACAACAACTACACACAGATTAATAAGTTTTGGGGTTGGGGTTTGGGTTTTGTTTTTACTGTGGAATCTGAGTCTGACTTATCCTGATCATCCATTACTTTCTTTCACGCAGCAACCTTGCCTGTTCATATTATCTGAGGGTACTTGTCTGAAAGGCCTTTTTAGGCAGTTTCTCTTTTTGAATTTTCATTTAAATTGACCTCTAAAATTCTCTTTACAAGTCACATCAGTCAGAAGTACAATTATTGGGTAAATACTCCTTGTTACGGCTGAGGATCAGAGAAAAAAATATCCCAATCTGCTTGCTGCACCCCTCATGTTGCTGTGTGCATTGTGCAGGTAGGTGACTCTGCACCCCAGGAATCCAGCATGGCTCAGCAGGCTCAGGTGACAAGCAGGGCTTGCTCAGCACTTGTCTTGGGCAACCAGAGCACAGACTGGAGCCAGCAGGGCAGGCTGATAAACTTGATAGAGAAGGACAGAAACTGCAGTGAGGAATAAACAGTCTGAGAAGGCGGGACAGATGGGTAAGATACAGCAGAAGAGAGGCAGCAAGTCTAAGAAAAGCAAAATTCATTTCTCCTGCACTTACCCTTCTCTCAATTCTCCAGAATCCATCAGAAGGAATTGAGAGGAGGGTAAGTGCAGAAGTGAATGCAAGCTGTGGGGAGGCAACAGCTTTAGGTGGGCTCAGCAGAGTGGAAAAGCCTAAACCAGCAACAGTGTGATTGCTAGGAAGAATAGAAGAGGAAGAGAAATAAGGAGGTGGCACAGGAAGGGAGTGCCTAAACTGAGAAGGGATGACTGAGGGAGGAAAGGCACAGAACTAGAAAAAGTGGAAGAAAAAATGGACCCAGGTGAAAGATGGAATGAGATGGGGGTGTAATACATTGGATAGGGCAGATTTAGAGAAAGAGTGAAAGGTAAACGGAATCTAAAAGAAAATGACACATTGAGAAGATAAATCTACTTATTTTTTTAACAAGATAAAAGCACACATTTCACAATAGTTTTAAAGACCTTTTAAGTCAGTTGGGCATTTTTCATGCAATGGAAGGTTCTTCCAGGAGCAAGCTGGTAGAATAGGAGGGAGCAGACAAATAGCAGGGCCAAGCTGTTCTTGTAGGGTACCATGAAGTTTCTTACCTTCCATGCAAACTAAGTATTGGGACTGCATCCTCTTAGGCTTTCTTAAAACAGCTTGTTATAGGATCTAAGGTAAACCAAACATTTTGGAGAAGGGAAAGATACAGGTTGCCTTATTTCATTTTGACTCAGATCTTCTAAAGTGATTGTGCTGATCACTTGGGGAAGTACCCCGAGATTGCATCTGCCTGCACTGCACTGTATCTATCTCACATCCTCATTACATGGCCCTATTAATTTTGCTGGAGGGCTGCTAGAGACATTACAAACAACAGTTCTTCCCAACAGAAAATGGTCACAGAGTTCAGTGACAGCAATGACAATGCTGATTAAAACCAGACATTTCTATACAAGAGCTATAAATTGTACTGCATATAGGTTTTTAAATTAGCTGATTGATTTTGTTATAAACAAATGTGCTCTTGATAAAATGGAAATTTGCATGGCAATATACTATTTTTAATTACAACGCTGAGGGCTTTCACTGAAAACAGCCACCAAACTTTCATCCTTAAAATGCAAACATTTTAACTTTAAGCAACTGAAAATCAAAACTCTTCCCCATTGAGAACTCTTACCTTTTTTTTTTAATTATAATCCAACCCACAACCATTCAGGGAATTTAGAAATATATGTATGTGTGCACACATGTGTTAGCTAAAAGTTGCACCACCTCCAGTGACAATTCCAGCTTTCATACTTAGAGGCACACAGACAACTCCTCAACATGCACCTGGTGAGATTGCAAGGGTGGGTGTAATGCTATAGCTCTACACATTTTTGCATGCTTCTGGCATTCCAACAATCCAGGGACACTGTTTTAGTACAGAATACTAAATAAATAATGGATACCTACTAAGCTTCCTAGAGGAAGAAAAACAGTTTTCTTCAAGAAGATAAAAATACTTTAAAACCGCAGTGGACACCATCACACACTTTCACTAAACCACTTTGTCCCACCAAGTCCAGCCCTACCCTGGCCCTATTAGCAAAACCAGTCTCCCTCTGGGAATTTGCCTTACTGCAGATATCCAGCTAAGCTGCTCTAAGTAATCAAACTCTTCACAACATCTTTATTCCAAAAGAATTGTAATCCGTGCATAATACCTCCAACAAGCCCATTTTCCTTTGTTGTCTCCATTTTGACAGTGGATTGATTAGATGTCTTCATCTTTGAGGTATTAATGGATTCCAAGAGGGAGACAAATTCTAGAAAGTTAGATTCGTTGGGCATCTGACCTTCTTTAGCTTCTAGATCTGATTTAGAGGTTGGTAAGGTCTTTTCTTTGTCAGATACCTCCACGAAATTCTTACTTAAGAGCACATCTGTCCCACTGTCTACACTCAACACCCGCATGTGCCTCTTTTCATGAGCAGTTCTGCAGGACTGCGGGTCTAGGTTATGCAAGTCTTCCTTAGAACTTAAATCCACAGTCTGGACATTTTCCAAAGCCTTCTCCTGATTTGGATCTGAACAAGTGTTAGTTTCTAGAAGTGTATTTGCTGGGTTGCTGAGCTCCTTGACTGCATCACCCGATTCATAGCCAGAGCATTGGTTGGATGACAGCTCTGCCCTCAACATTTCTGGTGTTCTGTCACTTTCACTAAGTTCTGAGCAAGGCTTAGCTTTACTGTCATCAGACAGGTCAAACGTGATAACAGGGATTCTGAGCTGTTCATTAGTTTGCTGACTTGACCAGCCTGCTCTAACTACACCAGAGTCAAGGGCTGAGCTTGTTCTCTCACTTTCCAGGGCCTGCAAGTGGACAGAGCCCGGTAGGTCACTAAGGGTGGTGTTTGGTGTAGTACTCATTGTGATGACAATTTTAATGGGCTCACACAGCTGGTCTCCAGGAAGAGAATTGTCCACAAGTGCAACGGCAGTCTCACTGTCTGAGCAATCAAGGTCCTCATGGCTATTACCAGCATTGCAAGAGCTTTCCATCTGCTCGTGCTCTTTGGTTGCAATAGCATTGCACTGTGGGCAGTTATTGGTAAAGCCCGTCTGTGGTGATCCATCTGGTAATTTCTCTCTTTTGTAGCTTTTAGGATTACTTAAATGGTCTGAAATAACTGAATTTTCACTGTCCCATGGCTCTGAAGAAACTCCAGTCCTTAAAATATCACCTTGTGATGAAGAAATATTGGAGATGTTTTTAGCTACGTCTCTGTCCACAGGAATATCTTGGGATCCATGGTGGCCACAAGGCTGTCCATTCAATCCTTTTTCATTTATTCCATCACCAGGAAATGTTTCCATGGCAGCTGGTTTTGTTGCTATTGCTGATGTGGTGGCACCTGAACCGGAGGTTGTAGAAACAGGTAATATATCTGCTTTGATACAGGGCGAGGTAGATGAAACTGGTGGTGTAGCCTGATCTTCTAGTACCATGACACCTAAGAAAAAACATTTGGGCATTAGGTCTCACATGAACACTAAGCATTATTAAAGTATGATCTTTAACCAATAAAACCCAATCCAGAGCAGAGCAAAGGAAGCACAGATGATGCAGCTGATTAAAACAGCTCTAAAGCAACAAGGGCTTTTTTTTGGTAGCTACATATGAAATACTACAAAAGCAAGACAGACTCCATCCAAGTCAGGACAAGCATAGCAGCATGTCCAAATAGTCAAAATAGCTGAAGAAACACCTAGTTTCAAAATCAAAATGTTTTACAGAACTATCCCCACTTAGGGAGAGGTGAAAGAAAGAATAAGCCAATCCTGCAGGTTTGCTACATCACTTTCTGCAATTCCTAAATGGTCACACAGGACATGGTGATCAGCCTTAACAAAAACAAAACAAGATTTAAAATATTAAGACATCTCAAGTGAGATGGAAGTGTAGGCAAAGTAAGGTGTGCTGGAATATACAACACAGCTAAAGGTTGACAATCACAACAGAAGTTTACAGCACATGTTCAAGGATGCAATACAAGCGTTAACTTCCTAGTTGAATGCTTGACAGAGCTCAGAGCTTCCTAAGAATGTGGGGCAAGGCTCTTTCATCTCCCTGTATCAAAATGGGGAGAGATATTTGCACACCCCTCAAAGGGTTGCATCCCAAACAGCTTGGCTGATGGTTGAGAAAGTTTAGTCTGTTAGAATATCCTTCAAATTTAGTTCTAGCTCTTCAACTCAGATCCTAACAGGAGGCACAACAGAACCTGCCATGGAGTCCTGTGTGCCACTACTTTTTGTGCCAATCACTGTGCCAAGCAATGATTAAACAACAGCTTAGGGGACTTATAAAGCCTTTAAAATACCTCTAAGATCTTCAATCGTTTCCCGTGTTGGCAGGTCCTAAAAAATGAAAAAAACCACACAAGATTAACATGGTCATTTATTAAATTCTGTTGAGGGAAAAGAAATCTATCAATGTAGCTATCAGTAGCTATCTAATCAAAGATTAATTACAGCATTGGTAAGGTGCTTAAAATCACTGAAATTTGAACATGTACCTTGCACAAAATGCAAGGGGTGGGTGAGGGAGATGGTTATAGAACAGTCATGCTCCAAATTGCATCACTGAAATTGTGTGTGATGTTTGGGGAGGGGAAAGAAAAGCAAAATGTTCTTTAAAAAAATGTTTGCAGTACCTAATCCAGATACACTTTTTTAAATCATTAAGGAATAGAATGTGTTCATCTGTTGCATTTATCCAGCTGTGTGTTTCCAAAGAACTAGAATGAAAAGTTTAGCCTCTAGCATTGGTAAGTATTTCTCAATGGAAAACTAGAGGACAGAGACATTAAATTAATATAGAATCATTTAGATTCCAAGAAAGCTTTGAAGGTCATTTAGCCCAAATCCCCTCTGCCATACACACACACTTGAAGGAGATACAGTTTGAGCAGGTTGCTCAGGGTCATCTCCAATAGAGCTTTGAAAATCTCCAAAGAAGGAGATTTCACAACTTCTCTGGAAAACCTCTTCCAGTATTTGACCACTCACTTGGTAGGGGAAAAAGAAACAACACAGAAATTACCAAAAACCAAAACAACTCCACAAAAAAGACATTAAATGTAATTATTTGATCTAACTGTAGCTTTCCATGGCTGCACCTGTTTCTTATCCTGCCACTGGGCACCTCTGAGAAGAGCGTGCTCAACCTGCTGTGTAACTTACTATTAGAAAATTGAAGACAGCAGTAAGCTCTACTTGTATGGTTACAAAAGAGTTTAGCCTTACAAAGGCTGAAACATCCAATCTGCCTCTCCTCACACATGATGTTCTTCAATCACCTTGTTTGCCTCTGCTGGATTCTCATCAGTAGGTCAATGTGCATGGGAACTAACTGGGGGGCTCAAAACTAAACACAACACTCCATAAGGAATAATTCAGGAGTTTAAATTCAACAGCCTAAATGCATAATTAGAAACAAGACATTGAAAAAATGACTGTGGCTCTCTTCTGACTGACAGGCACCAAAACTAAGAGGAAATTATTATTATTTTCTAAAATTTCATGGTGGTAGCCTGGCAGCAAGAACAGGAGACTTGGTTTGACAAGACCCAACCTACATGTTTGGAAGTGGGAGACTAGGATGAGATCCCAGGAAGGCATAGGTTTGCAGAATGGACAAATACCAGAATACTGGAGAGTAAGACAGAAACAAGGTGAAAAATATTTTACCTCATAAAAAAAAAAAAACCTAAACAAAAAGAACTATTAATGTCTCTGAATCACACAGATGCTACAAAAAGGTAAAAACACTCCAGAAAATGAGGAAATAGTTCTGATTCAGATCAGGATTTAAATAATTTGTAGTAAACAGGGATAAAGGGTGGGTGTGGAGGAATATGAAGACAAAATGAAGTATCAAATAGCCACTTATTCAGAAATCACTAACCATCCTCTGCACTGACTGAGGCAGGAGTCCTGTAGAAAAAAATAGCATGGTATCACATAATTAAAGATTGTTATCACAGTATGCAAGGGGAGTAGCTTAAGATTACACAGACAGTGTTGTTCTGTTTCTTAATTTTTTGAAAATTTCTTCAACTTATCGTGTTTCCTATTTTTTTCTTGACTAACATTTACACATATCACTTTCACCACTTCATATACCTTTGATTTATTAAGCACAGCCATTGGCGCTGAGTGCACATATAGGTACTTTTAACCTCCTCTAGATACCTCCTAGATTTAAATGGCTTTTATGCTTCCTTTAAATGCTGAAGAGATGGGTTTGGTTCATTTAATAAGCATAAGTCTAGTTACACAAAACCAAATTATTAATGGTCCAGAAGCAGATCCCTTCAGAGGCAACAAAATAATGCTGACTGCATTAGCCTCTCCCTCCTCTCAAAGCAGCCCCAAAAAGCTAGTTGCTCTTGGCAAGATTTACAAAGGCCACTTGCTATCTGTAGAGCAGAGAGAGCCCTCCTAAGAGTTGCAGCATTATGTATGACAGTTTCAGCTCTGCAAAGCCAAACCTTTAGGACAAGGCTGACTGGCATACCCAGTAGATGCATCCCAAGGGAATGACCCTTCCTGCGTGGAGCAGGCCTGTGTTACAAGCAATGAGCACCTGGCAACACAAAAGCGTGTGTGGTGAGCTGCGGGCTGCTGGAGGAGTGCACATACTGACCGTGGCTCCAGGGGAGTCCTGCGAGGGCGGGGCCTGCACTCTGGAACTGTCAGGAATTGTCTGGGTGGAGCCGTTTGGGCTGCTCTCACCGGCGGCGCCATCCCCCGAGTTATTGCTGAACGGGAAGCACACAAAAGATAAAGCAACACTTATCACCACAGGGCATCACCGCGAGCTCTGGGAAGCGGCTCACCAATCAAAACACAATAGGAAGAAGTAGCACAGCATAATGAAGTAAGGGCACTTCTCTCCCCTCCAATGATAAAAGCACAGGGCTGTGAAAAATACTGTAACACATTCCTGCACTTCCTTCCTCACCAAGACAACTTGATAAAACTTAAAGAATAAAAACCCCTCAATGTAAAATGATTATGGTGTCTTCAGAAGTGGAGCTATGAGAAATAAAACAACATCTCTTCAACCTCCCTATGCCTATATAATGCCATTCAGCTTGCCTGACACACAAACAGATTTATTGGCACAAAAAGCAATCTGGGGATTTTCCTCAGACATATGACAATCAAAAGCTACTCCTTTCACAATTTTTGCTTTTAAAGTCCTGGAGTATGCAAGCCTTATCTAACTGCCTGTTTATCTGGAAACCTCCCATAGCCTACTTGAAATGCAACACAGAGAGCACTAATATAATCATAAGACCAGAATATAAAATTTTTGCTCTGGTCTAGGCAAAGTAAATATACAGCCATTACTAATTTCACATATTCTAAGGCAATTTATAGATCAGTTCCTTTGTGAATACACTAAACTATGCACTAACTCCTTTTATACATATGTTCTACTAGCTTTTCCATGGATATAAGCAGGTATTTTCAGACAAGGTTTACTATCAATAACCTAAAAATATTCTTTTTCTCAGGTAAAACAAACAGAAATTCAATTTAACCAAAAAATACAAAAAAAAAAAAAAATAAGAAACACACCACAGTGAAATGTTGAAAGGCATGAGGTTGGGATTTTCTATTTTTTCATGGGGTTGTTTTTTTCACCAAAAAATTTCTTTTTAAAATTCTAAAGTTCTATATAAGCAATAACATTATTTATCTGGGTGGTCTCTTTCCACAACATTATTTTTTAGTTAACAGGCTTCAAAAACTGCTCAACCAACCTGCCAACTATGAAGGTCTGTTTAAAAAATTCTGTCATCCATCCAGTCAAAATAATATTAAGATCTTTACTAACTAATTAATGGATTGTTGTGCATACACAAATCAACCTGGGAGAAACAGTCACATGATTTAGCATGCAACTTTTAAGTTATTCTACCTTTACTTCTCAGCCAAAACAGCCTGAAAGGCATAACCCCATCTAAAATAAAAATGTTGTATGGGTAGTGACACACAGAGGCATTTCTCAGAAGAGTCTCAATGCAGGCAGACCTTGACTGTCCCAGAAACATCACTGCCAGGAGTGTAGCACAGATGTGCATGTGTAAAGACACAGAAGAGCAGAAGCACAGAGGAACACAAACTATCTTGATACTACTTAGCTGGCACAGAGCTAGCAGTAGCAACTGCAAATGCATCCAAAAAATACCCTAAGTTCTTTTATACACTGCTCTCTGTTGAAGCCTGACTGGTAGTTTTAACAAAGCTACTCAATTTAAGCTTGCTTTGGACATTTCTATGCTTCTGTCTCTTTTAAATATACCTTATTTCAGCATTTTTCACATCTGTCATAACACTTGCCATCACTGAAAGCCACTTGCCAGCTTCATTTGTTTGTATGACTCAAGCTTGAAAAACCAGCAGGAAGGGTTTATTTATTTATTCTAAAGAGTGTATAGCAGAACATTCTACCAATACACAAATCTGGAAAATGTCAGTACTAGTCTTCATCTCACTATTGTTTTTACCTTCAATACCAGCACAGCCTAGAAGCAGCCCTATGAATTCTATGCAAAGACTAATAGTACTTAGTCTTTGGATTGTTGTGCATTGCTGGGCATGTTGTGCCAAGTAATAGTACTTGGCTTCTCAGTAGAGAAGCTACAACTGAACTGCCTACCAAATGCCCCTGAGAAATAAAAGCAGTTTTAGCTTTCCTCATGAACAGGACCACAGAAGCATCATAATTATCACAATAAAACATAAGGGGGGAAAGCAACTTATGCACCTAGGTGTGATCTGAGAGGGAACTTACTAAAAGCACACAAAGGCAACATGAGGTCACCTTGTCTTCCAAAGCCATGATATTAAAGCATTTTCTTTACCAACAGGTGCCTGCCACTTCCTTGCCACTTCCCAGTAGGTAGGAGCAAAAATTTTAAGGCTTCCCCAGAAAACTTTTGCCAGGTTTTCTTCAGGATCTGTTAGCACATCCAATACTTATCTCCTCTACCACTTTCATGGTGCCCAGCTACTGCCCAACCTCTGAATCAGGTGCAGCTCTGCCTGCTGCACCACAAGAACATTTCAGCTACCCAGTTGAAAAGCACTAAGCAAGTTTTTGAAAGTGTCATTCTTTATACACTTGTAAGGAGTTTTCTTGCTTTCAACAGACATTTCTGCTGTGCAGGACCATGGTGCAAACTCACCCATTTTACATAATGTGCCAACGATGCAAGGAAAACCTTACCTACAATTTGAGGGCTCAACCGCTTCTCCTTTTTGAACCTCTGTATCTTTACATTGCCTTCCATTTTTTCTTGAGAGCTTCTGTTGAATAACTTCGCCTTTATCAAACATGAGGTGTAAACGGTAGCTGATCACCTTTATTACCGTGAAGAAAACTGTCACCGAGCTGCAGTACACAAAAACTGTCACTGCATTTGCTGGAAAAGCCTACAGAAAGAAATAATGAGGACACAATGATAACAGTTTCCTTTGAGAAAATGCTGTTAAGACTTTTAAATACAATATATGTATTGAGTTTTGCTCCCAGAAAAAGGCTTAAGGGTTTCTTCAAGTTTCAAACCATTTCACAAGATGTACTAGTTTTATTAGCTGTGGGTATTATTTATTATCAAAATCAGCAAAATCTCATAATTGACAAACACTATAAAGCTTTTTAAAATACCACAATCTCATGTTAATGCAGCTGCAGCCTTTCCTAAACTATGAATTCATAAAAATACAGACACAAAATGAAACATTAGTTATCTACAAACACAAAATCTTTAGAAAAATTCTGTCATCTTACTCTATATGTCAGTTATGACTCAATAGCAGAACACTGTCGTTTGATGTCCGTTTTCTAATGCCTCACAACATGTTCCCAAATACCTTAACCACTGAGGAATTTTAAATAATTAGTCAGGACTAGTCAAAACAAATGAATAAAAACACAGTTAGAGAAGCATCCTGTCCCCACTGACATTCAAGCAGTGAGTGATTGGCTATGTGGTGCTTAGTTGCCAGCTGGGGTTAAACTATGACAACTTCTTTGAATTCTTTTTCTAAAGTACATAATTGTTTATTTGCAGCTGTCTGTGATCTGTTTGATGATCTGTGATGAGCACCACAGCTCTTCGTCATTAAAATTAATTACAATTCAACTATAATCTCTAAAGTTCTTTCACAGACATGACAGACCAACAACTTTTTTATATACAAACACTTCCTTACAGTAAAGGGCAAATCATAGCAATGGACAGTTGCAGTTATAATTGAAGTACCAAAGTCTTTACCATTATAGTTATGGAACATGTTTATGTATTGTTACTACACAGCTGCAGTCTCACAGTGAATTTAATCTCTCTTAAAGTTCCAGGGGTTTTATTTAAACAGAGATTTACTACATTCTCACACAAGAACAACAACAAAAAACCCCAAGCAACACACAAAAACAAAAAAGGTTTTCAATACTCACGACTTGCAAAAAGTCTGCTGAAGGTAATTTTTAAGAATGGTCTTTACTTTGGTACTAAATCAATCATTTTTTCAAATTCATAAATAAATCACACCGACCACACAGATAAAGGGAAGGGAACAAGGCATGCTTATTTCATCTTTAGAACAAGTCACCACATTTATCTTGATGTTGAAATTAATATGTTGAATCATTTCTGTGTTGTGACAAGCAAGTGGGATGCAATTCTGATGCTGCTTTTGGCTCACTGGGACTTCATACCATCAAGATGCACACATGAAAATTTTCAGGTGAATCCTTTTTAATGACTATTCTGATTCAGATACAAAGAATCTGTTGCACAATAGTGGAGCAGCTATTTAGAAAATACGTACTACCAATGATCCCTAATAGACAGACATGACTTTCTACAAGTTGAGGCTTAAGTCTGCTAAGAGTACATCATGGTACTGTGTAAATACCAACTCCCAGCACACCCTTCAGTTATTTAGAACTCAGGCCAGGAGAGGATCCATTTGCAAGGTCATGTTCTCAGGGTATGAGGCTTAGTAGATGAGGTTGAAGAACTTGAGGTTAAAGAATTTGTGGTTTATGACTAATGTTTTTACAAAACGAGTAAGAAATTGTTTGGTTTCACAATGAGCGGCAGCCAATTATCTGTAATGACTGCTTAAGAGAGATTTGTTCACCTTCCAAGGAATCTCTTCAACTATACACTAAAAGGCACAGATCAACCACTCATTATTAAATAACAACTCAGAATGGCCCACTAAGAAAAGAAGTGCTTTATAGGTGACATTCATAAAGCTTAATAAATATTATATGAATAATGTCAAGAGGACACAACAAAAATAGATTTCCAGTAGCGCAGCCTGTGCGTGCAGAGAGCACGCCACAAGAGAGACTCAAAGGAAGCTCCTAGATTTTGGAGTGGAAAACAGGGCCAGTTTTAGCAAACGCTGAGTGCAGCATGTGCTCATCCCTGCCTTGTGACCAGACCTACTGGAGCTGTGCCCTGAGCCAGCCCATGGTCCCTGTGCCCATCTGTCCGGGACACACTGTGTTTCAGAGTGCTCACCACACCAGACACCAATGGCATCTTGTGCATCTTTAGAACTCTCAATCTCGGGGCAGGCTGAGTATACAAGCCAGCAGGTTGCTCTCTGTGCACATGAGGAATTAGAAGACAGATGATAATGGAAAGCCCTCCATTCTCTGAATCAGGCCTCTTGCATAAGGTACCAGTGTCATATGACTGCAGCTGGTGTTCCCAGGGACAGACAGGTGAAAACTATCAAATCCATGCTAAGGAAGAACTAAGTTACAGACCACTGAGGAATTAGATGATAGAGTCACTTTTGATGCACTATAGTTATAATTAGCCTGGTTTTCTATGAAAATGAGGTTTTATAATCACACCATGTGTCTGTGTATTCATCATCTCCCTCCATCCCCTCAGCTGAAAGGTAGCCAAAGAATTAAAGTTATTCAGCAAACTTTAAGAGAATACACCCCACTGGGCAAGGTCACAGCAGCACACCTCCTCCATTAATGAGAGGAGCCCACACAGTTCTCTGACCTTTTGATGCCACCCCAGTGACAGGAAAAGCTTCAATTGAGTTGACATCTTATTAGAAGCTATGAAAAAAAAAATCCACAAATACAAATTCATTAGAAAGCGGGCTTCATGACTTCCCACAGGTTTCTATGGAAGCTGTAGCCCTAGTTTTCTTCATTCTTTCATCCCATTAAAAACTCATAATGTACTTTTTGTTCTCCAGTAGCTTCTGTTGTTGTACCCTGCACCAGAATAGCGTGGGGTCACAGCCAGAAATGCAGGCTGGTGTGCCCCAAATGTGGCCCAACTTACTGCTGCAAATGCAACAGGGTTGACATCACCACCTAAGGAGCACCTTTGCTTGGGGCTTCTGCCTGCCCAGAGATTGCTCTCAGAAGAACAGCCACATTCTCCTTCACGTGTCTACTGGCATTATTTGAGTAGCACAAAGGTGGAGGTGACTGAGATAGGCACATAAAGGTATGTAACCTTTGAACAAAATACCACACCTTGCCAATTGGGCTGAATGATAAAGGGTGCTTAGACCCTGATGCATCCCAGCCACTGCTTGAGCCCCTGAGGCATCTGGAACAGGGCAGTGCTGCACCTGGGCCTCGCTGTCTGGGTGTGCTACAGAACACAATGAGGGAACAACCAAACAAATGTTCAGTCGGCCACTACCATCAGAGATATGCTTGGGAGATACGACACTGGGGCCCAAGATCCATGTTTATCTGTTAATTAAGGAGAATCAATACTAAGAGATGTCCATCACACAATATAAAATATGGGAAAGCAGGTAGCAAATAAAATTCCAGGGGCGTACATTGAGTTCTCAGTGTGTCCTCCCACACAGTAAATACAGGTAACAGGGTAGCCTATCTCTCTGCTGCAGAGATATTTGTATCCTTAACTTTTACAGAGATAGAGTGGGGTAAAAGGCAGCCAAGTGGGACTGGAAGCAGCTGACACACTGCTAGTTTTATCACAGTTTACCTCTGAGTAATTTATGTGCCCACACCCTTATACTGCCATGTTGTACTTCTCCTACCACAGCATGATCTGAAGATCTAGTGCATGAGAAGTAACAACCCTGTCAGTTCAAGGGTTCCCTGTCCAACAAAAGGCAGGAGAAACATTGAGTAGGTTGTTCTGGGGAGTCACCCAAACACAATGCACATTCTCTTGTAGCTTGTAAAATAAGCTATAATACAGTATTTCCCAAAGTTGCATCTCTAGGTCACTGGTGTTTCACTGGGGCTGAATACTAAAGAGTTATCACTATTTTCATGTGAAAAACACCTAGGGATCCTCAACTGTTTGGTGGAATAAGATAACTTTAATTCCTAATATATTATGAAAGTTGATGTGGCACAGAAGAGATCTCATAATTTTGAAACTTGATTTGAACAGCAATGATGCTTGAAATATCCAATGTACATTTTTAATGTTTAAATGATAAAGAAAATAAAGTAATGGAAACACAGAGCTGCATTTTCAGGGGCTGGGAAAACTAATAAAGGAATCCTTAGTACCAAAGTAAGCTATGCTGAATAAGCTAGGGAAAGAAATTCTCCATCCACACAACAGAAACAACTTGATACTTTAAGCTTCTCAATGCTACCGTCAGCACGCCTCTGCTGAGCCACTGTGAAAAAACCAAAAACAGATGGATGAGTTTTGCCATTTGATTCAAATCACACTGCTTCAGAGAGACTTCCTGACTTCAACAAAAGACTATCCCAAGCAAAGGAAAAATTTAAAAAGCAGTACTCTGATCTGTTTTCATTTTGCCATTTCAAGAAACATCACTGACTGCTTTAGCTGAATCCAAAATATTGGTGTCAAGTATGTAACATAAATATCACCCCAAACATTACTGAATATTATAAACAAAATTTCTTATAAACCAGAAAAAAACCTTTCTCTAAAAAGCAAGTTCAAGTTTCTAAGTGGCAAGAATAGATGTCTTGCATAAAGTTTACAAAGCCTTAGAAACAAGCCACTTGAAAACAAGAAAATGTGTAAGAACATAATTACTGTCAGGCAGCCATCATAATAAACACTTTATTCTTATCAAGGACAAAGGATTCCCACAGCAATGTGTTAGCTCAAGAACACAAGTCCTGCATTTAACCAGATGATTCATCAGAAAGTCAGTCTGCAGAAAAAGCAAGTCCATCTAGGTAAGCAAAGATGATGCCCAAGAGAGTTCACTAGATAAGTTACATTTCTCCCCTTTAAAAAATGACTTCTAGCTTAGCTCTGACCTAGAGTCCAGTGTTCTTTTGTGCAACCCCCACACTTTCTTCAGTTCAGAAGTTCCCCACAAGGAATCCTTCCAGATACATACTTTTTTCAACTAAAAAAAAGTTAACCTTCAATTCTTTTTCCTTTTTAATCACACTTATGACTTGGACAGCAAATCCTACAACGCAAGACAATCCTACAACTTGCTAGTTTGCATAGGAAATACGCAATCAATCAGGAGAAAGCACATTGTTATTCTGGTTCATTAACTCCATGAGCCATTCTTACAGGAATTCACTGCAATCCATGCCACAAAATCCTATACCAATTCACGCTTAAAAATACAAGATTTGCTTTCTACTGGGATTGCAGGGGGATTCATAAATGCTCATTGCTTTTGATAATCAGGCCCATATCTGACCATGTAGGGTGAAGAAATCTATTTAGAAGTGGAGAATTTAGTTGAGTCACTCCAGGAACCAAATGGATGGAAAGTGCTTCTAACGGAAGCAATATTACCCTATAATCACTGAAGGACACACCAAAATAGATTCGATGATCCAGCACACTTTAAGCTTTTCTCACACAGTAGGAAAGCACACAAAAACAAGAGCAAAAGCTTCAAGCTTTTCAGGAAAATAAATCTTAAAGTCCAGCAAACAAACTCTAGTCATTATTCACTTGCAAAGTTTAAATTTCAGCACAAAGGGAGCTGCATGTCACAAAAAGCCATGTGATTCACTAGTGACATTCAGCGAAGCGTATTAATTACATGGTATCTGGATCTTTCCATTTATTTAACCTTCTCAGCAGGTAAGACTGGATCAAACTTTAAAAAAAACAAAACCAAAACACCTGTCTCCAAAAGAGAATTTTGAGCAAACGTCCCCACGGTCATTCAGCCCTCGCAGAGGCCAGCACTGCACCCCTGCCCAACTCCTTGGCAGGGCCAAGGATCCGACCCCTGCCTAGCTCAGCCGGCGGACTCACCCCGTTAACCTTTAGACACAAACCCCCAGGTAAAGCCCAGAACCCCAATATTTAAGCCCCCGAGGGTAGTTTACAGCCGGCTGAGCGCACACGCCCTCGCCGCCGCTGCCGCCTGTGGGCCGGGGCCCGCGGCTCCCGCCCCGGCGCCTCCCGCCCGCCCGCCCTCAGGCAGCCCCTCTCACCAGGTGCAGGGCCATGGGCAGCGTCAGCAGGAACAGCCACAGATAGAGGTGGCAGCTGTTGGTGAAGGCGCCCTGCTCCGGGTCGTGGTACCAGCCCCCGGTCAGCGCCGCCCACACGCCCTGCCCCACCAGCCGCGCCGCCGGCGACACCATGGCCGCCCCCCGCCGCCGCCACCGCCGCCCCTCAGCCGCCCGCCGCCGCCGCCGCCATGCCGGGCGCCCGCGGATTCTCCCATGGTGCCCCGCGACGCCGAGCATCCCGCCCGCCCCACCCCGGCCGCCGCCGCCGCCGCCGCCGGGAGGGCGCCGTCACGGGCCGCCCCCCGCCGGGCACCGCGCCCGCTCTGCCCCGCCGCGGGGCCGGGGCCGCCGCCACTCCGGGGTCCGCGCCCGGCTGCCGGGAGCGGCGGCAGCGCTCGGAGGCCGCGGGGCGGAGCGGGGCCGGGCCGAGCCGCGGCGGAGGGGGGGCGGTTCTGGCGCGGGGGTGTCCGTCACGGCCGCGTCCCGCCCCGGGCACCGCGAGGTGCGCTCACAGGTGCAGGAAAAGCGCGGCACGGGGGCAGCCCCGGCGGCCGCCAGCTGGGCTGCGCGCCTCGGCGGCCACTCCCCCACCGCCGGGTTCTCAGTGATCCTGCCCGATACATCACGAGTTTCCGATCTGAGAGCTCTGCCCAACTTCGGTGTCACCCGTTCTGCGTAGGCTTGAGATGTGTTTTGGGCGGGATGGAGGGAAATTCCTCAAAAAAAAAAATCGGATTTTTTCAAAAATGGGTTTAGGGAAAAACTCAATCTGCCTTCGTAAAGCGTTTCATGCAGCTGACCTCAGACCAGCGGAGTGAGGAGGTAGGGGCGGGCTGGAGGAAGCATAGACGAAGTGCGGGACACGGGGGCTGAAAAGGCGATGGAGCGGAGTGGAAGCCTTAGGCAGGAGATACTAAAGTCGGTGAAGAATGAGGCATAAGGATATCAGGTATATTCTTATGGGACGCCCCCAAAGGAAGGGGGTGTGAAAAATGCATGTATTTTATGATTGGCTTTTCGCAAATATTAAAATGAATATTATATGTGTTGTTTTAGAAAGTAATGCTGTATTAATTCTCTTAAGTACTGTGTTAAATATAGTTTTAGGCTATAAAAATTGTTAAAATAAAAACGATGCTATGTAGGATACTTTTTTTAAAAGAAAGGACTTGTAGCGAGATAGCAGCCACAGGACACCTAAATCTTTCTGAGAAAAAGATTTTATGGCCCTCTTATCAGAAGAAACGAACTTCTTTCCGCCTCAAAGGCGCTGTTAGGTTTCAGAGGAAGAAGTTGTCGATGACCAGGCAGAATCCTGTATTTGAATGGAATTTATGCATCATGTATAAAGTGTATGACTATACAACAGGCTATTGCTTTTAATCCTTTGTTAACAGGTGTCCTTTTTCAGGCTCATGCTGCCCAGAAAAAGGTACCCAGACGTCCGTAACTCTTTGTATTTGTTGTCTCATATTTGTCCTAATTCAAATTGTCCAAATTATTATTACTCTAATTGTATTACTATTTTTATATAACCATTTTATTACTAATAAGCTTTTAAAATTTTAAAAACAAGTGATTGGCGTTTTTCACAGGGGTGTAAGGTGGGTTGTGAACACCAGGGCTGAACTCGCACGATGCTCACCACCTCCCACCCCCGACCATCAGAAAATAGCAGTGAAATTCAATTTTAAGGGTCTCACCAGCCCCTTCTAGGGCCTGTTCCACATCTATAGACCTTTATTACAGTCAATTTTGTGAAGGATGCATGTATGAAATGGGTACATCATCTTGCACATCACAAAATTTACTCTACTTCAATTTTTCCTGACTGTGGCTACAGTTTCACCGACCAAACATGCCATTTTCCTGTGCTTTGTGTGGATTTTTTTTTTTTTTTTTGACAAAGGTAAGAGACCGCAGGTGCTATTATACCTCATGACACATACCTGAGCTTTCTTCCTGATGTCTCAGGTGATGTGGTCGTGCTAGTTTTGGCCTGATGGGAGGGATGATACAGCACTGTGAAAAAGTGGTTGGGAGCAGGGGAGGAATGGCATCGTTTCCCTCAGCAGCACTGCCGCCTTTAGATGCCAAAGGATCTACAGCCTTGGGACTTGAGTACTTCTTCAGTGCAACCCCGGCATGTTTCCTGAGCTGTATGAAGGAGGCACAGTCCTGGCCGTGCCTCATGTGCTACTCCTGTAAACACATCTTGCCCAAACTTCTGCCTTGTTGAGTGAACTTTTTTTTTATCCTTTGCAAGTTCTTTTCAAAGATGACAAAGTTTATTAAACCAATTGTAATGATTGAATCAAGTGCAATATGCAGCTATGAATAATGTTTTTGATGTATGATAACTAAAAGTGTTAAATTTCAGAAAATGCTGAAGTCATTTTTCCACAGGCAGGCCAGCAAATAATTTTGTTTACATGCACAGCTCCAATACAGAAAGGTGGGTAAACTAGGGTGCAAAGAGAAAGCTTCTTCAAAACCTCCTCTCTTCTGTTTTTTGAGACCTCTAACTCATGTAGGTTTAAAAGTGGAAGGCCTAGATAATGCAGACTGCAATTGATATTAGGTTGACTTGTTGTCCTGGTTTTGGCTGGGATAGAGTCGATTTCATTCTCAGTAGGGGGTACAGTGCTGTATTTTGGATTCCATAAGAAAATACTCTTAGTAACACAATGATATTTTGGTAGTTGCTATGTCACATTTGTCTTAAATCTTTTTGTGTCTCATGTCCTGCCAACGAGGTGGCACAAAAAAGAAGAACTGGGAGGAAGCACAGACAGGCCAGGTGACTGAAATTGCCCAAAGGGATATTCTAGACCATCATGGTCAGTATATAAAGTGGCGGGGAAAAGGAGGAAGAGGGGGACATTTGGAGTATCTTAGTTACTTTTCTTCCCAAGTAACTATTACATGTGATGGGACCCTGATCTCCTGGAGGTGGCGGAATACCTGCCTGTCCATGGAAAGTGATGAATTAATTCCTTGTCGCTTTGCTTGTGAGTGTGGCTTCCCTTTCCCTATTAAACTGTCTTATCTCAACCCACAAGTTTTCTCATTTTTACTCTTCTGATTCTCTCCTCGATCCTGCTGGTGGGGAAGTGAGTGCATGCCTGCGTGGGGCTTGGCTGCTAACTGGGGTTAAACCATGTCCACACATCACTCAAATCTTTCAACTCTTCCTCATCTTTGGATAAAGCTTTCACCAAGTTGGTTTTTTTTTGGGGGGGGGGGGGGGGGAGGGGTAAGGATACTTGCAGTTATGAAGGGTTCCTGTAATTTCCAGGTCAGGATATGTGTCTTAGACACAAGGCAGATGCACAGTATTGTAGCTACACAGTTGCAGGAGTGCCAAAGATGAAAAAAGGGACCTCTTTTCTCAACAAAGAGGCCAGTGAGGGTCTGAGCCATCTGTACACCGCTCTTTTAGCCGCTAACTCCACTAGGTGGTGCCGTCAGGAAAGTTAAGGGCACTTCATACTGTTTTGGGTCACAATATTTCCATTATTTGAACTCCTAGGAACAGCAACTATACAGCAAGATCCTGGAGCACTGGGTGCTGAAGAAACACTGAACAAAGTCTAACCTCAGTGCAACGATTGCTAGTGGATAGTGGCACTTCAGAAAGCAAATTTTGGAATAATAGCTCTAGATAAATATTTAAACATTTCACTGTACTGCAACCAATACCTTGTCTGACCCAAAACATTCCACACTTAATTAGTTCCTGCAGATTCTTTTAGATAACAAAGTACAAGGTGGAATTTGTGTGGCAGAACGCTTGTATTACAACATACTTTATGGCTTTTATAATAAGGCAAATATGCAGATAAGGGAAAGGCTTGTAATTACCTCTCTGAATAGCTGCAAGGCAATGTTATATTAAAGGAAATGGGAGAAGACTTGATAGACATGCTAGTTCTGCATTCTTTCTTTTTGGTTAATGTGGTTCAGTAAGTCACTTTAGCATAATTGTATTTTTGCATTGTGTATAACTATAAATACAGTGAGGTAAACAAGAATTTATGATTTTTGAATACTGTAATTTTAATTTTTTTAAAATTACTGTCTTTACGTTCAAACCTTAGTTCTGTGGCAGCCAGCTGCAAATTTTGCATTTATGTAGAGATGTACAGTGCTCTGAATGTAAGTTTTTGTGCAAAGCATTGTGTGTTCATCACATCAGGTTATTCAACCCAGCACTGCTTTTTTTGCACCTTTCCAGAGCCTTTACTGTCCTTCTTAGGGCCTCTGCTGGCAGCAGCCACATCCATAACCACAGCTCCCACAGCACAGTGATTGGCTCCTGGCATAAAAACTCATTTCCTTCCACTTTGAACCACTGCTTCCCACCACGCTGGCGAGACAAGAGGGCGTCCCCAGCCCACACACTTCCCTCCAACTTCCAAGGAAACGACAACTCTAGTTTAGAAAGTGATACGATTTTTCCACTTAAAACCAGGAGAATCTTCACCCAGAAATAGCACATACACAGCACTTGCTATTTTCAGGCAGCCTCTTAATTGAAAGGATTGTGTGATCACACCACACAGGGCTGGGACTCTCTCAGCCCCTGCATGGTCAGGGTGGTGAGCAGGGGAGAGTTGGAGTGGATCCAGAGGAGGGCAACAAAGGTAATTACGGGCCTGGAGCATCTCCCACAAGGACAGGCTGAGGGAGCGGGCCTGTTCAGCCTCGAGCAGAGATGACTGAGAAGGGGCCTCATCCATGTGTATCAGTATCTAAAGGGAGGGTGCCAAGAGCCAGGCTCTTCTCAGTGGGGCTGAGCAATAGGACAAGAGGCAACAGGCAGAAAGTGATGCTCAGGAAATTCCACCTGAATATGAGGAAGAAACGTGAGGCTGACTGGACACTGGAACAGATTGTCCAGAGTTCTCCCTCAATGGAGATGTTCAAGAACCACTTGGCCTCAATCCTGTGCCACGTGCTCTAGGATGACACTGCTTGAGCTTGGAACAGATGTACTACTGCGGTCCCTTCCAACCTGACCCGTTCTGTGAGAGCCCGCGAGCGGCGGAGGCAGGGCCGGAGCAAGCACGAACTGAGGAAGCTCGGTTTCTTCAGAACCCGCTTGGGGTTCGCTCCAAAGGAGGCCCAAA